AAAAAATAGATCAGAAGTATTTTTATAGTAAAATTCAGGCCAAATTTGTACTGAATTTTAAACAGTTTAAGGGATAGTTCAAAAAATTATAATCGATTTAAAAGGTGTTAATGTGTATGTTCATTCTTATATTAAACATTTTGATGAGCTTCATTCGACCATAACGCATAGAGCAGTGTTCCTTTTCAATTTTAATTGTAACCGGTGTAGATTGTTTCTTTTAATTAAACATCGCCAACCAAATTATTGATGGCTACTAAAAAAATGTATATATTCCGGAAATTTTTTTATTAAACTTCGTCAAACGATCATAATTACTGTGGCGGATTAAAATGAAATCAGATTAAAAATGAAATGTTGCATAGTGTAAAATAGACAAGCCACCGAAAAATACAAAATTTTGGGTGCATTTTTTTTAGCTTTAGGGTAAAATTTATATTAGACAAGTATTAAATGGGTTTTAGGGGGTTAAATAAAAACTCCAAATTTTATTTTAATCCGATTTCATTACGATCTGCGACAATTACTGACAGGCTGTTATTCAATAAGTCGCAGCTAAATGCAAATTAACTCTCCACCATGAAGGCCCAAAAACATTCTTAAAGAATATTTAACATCATGAAGACCCAAAAACATTCTTAAACACTTGTAAATCGTTCTAAATTATACAATAAGAATCCATGTTTTATTTATTTCAAACAATTAATAGTGGAAATTAGAATTAACATTATAAAGATAATATTAGTCACGGTGATATAATCCGGTATTAACCCATCTGCTAGTTCCGCTTGCATGTTCCCAATCTCCTACCCTATTATTAAGAGAGTTTCCCATACCAGTAGGTGAGTAATTTGGAGAATAATTAGTCGAGCAATCACTAGTTGGAGTAGTAGACGATCCTCCGCTTGATCCAGGTGATATGGAACTCATTGAAGCAGAGGAAAGCATGACATTACTCTTATTAGCCTGATGGACAAAGTATAAGAAAACAACACTTGCCAACCCACTCACAAGAAAGATTACGTCAAACCATCGATGATAGAAATTGAATTCTATTGACCCTAAAAGATTGGATATTGTATTTCTGTATATTACAGGTAGCGACATTCTCATCATTAAGAACGCACTTAGAAAGTACATTCCCATTATTTGTGCCAATAATAGGACAATGTCATTTCGCGACACCGAATTTGAAACAGCCCGGAAAAACTGTAAAAAAAAAAAAAAAAAATTTTGAATATATCAATCATTAAATGATTTTTGAAAATTAAATTATGAAAAATTAGACAAACTCTTAGCAATTGAATGAGTAATCCACGAATAGAAAAAATGATCATGAGTCCAACAAAAAAGAAGCTCAGTTGCTGGGACCAGAAATCGACATCAAAGTCAATTTTTATATATTTAATTGCTAATGTCAAACCATATGTTATAGGATCGGTTTTTCCTATCCGGAAAAAAATGATGTTAACGGTTGCCTTGTGTAATGTGAAAAAATTAAATAAGCCTCGGAAATTGTGCAATGCTACATAATGAATTGATAGTGCTTTTTACAGTACCATGATTATTTACCATGATTATTTTATATATACAATAAACAGAAAAAATATAACCCATAAAATTAAAGTATTTTCCTTGCCATGTTTTTGAATATTGAAGACGGTCCTAGTGTTTATCCCAAATTAGTGGTAATGAAAAAATACAATAAAAGGCAGATAACAAAATAATTATACCCGCTCTTGATATAGATCATCAATATCTATAAATAACTGGCGACTAATATTTTCTAATCCAACGACTTCTTGACGCAGCATCCCAATGTCTTTACAAACATGTTTGTAAGTAAAAATAAACCATTGATAAGTTTTGATGAACGTAATACGTACTTTCGCCACCTATTCCCATGTGATTGGCCATTGTATTAATCATTTTTCGCATAAATCCGCCAACTCGAGAACCTTGCTATTGAGATAAAAAGTCAGTGGTTTTCTCGCTCATGATTAAGTTTATAAATAAATATTACCTCTACAGCACTTCTTTGGCGTGCTTGAGAGACCAAAATGCGCCTTTTCTTACTTAAAACTATATCTAGTGTTTGAAGATATTTCTTTTCGGCTGCTTGTATATCAGCGTCTGTGACTTGTCTATATTATACGACTTTATAATGGTTAATAAAAAGATGAAATGAATGTTTAAAATAATCTTCCATTACCTCAAGAACTCATGTTCTGGAGCATCAAATTGAAACACACCTCAAAAAGAAAAATAGTGTGGCATAAGGACTATTCACCGCACCGAATCCCGACAATATTGCCATGATAGTCACACCTATTACGCTTACACGACTCATACCGAATTGTATAAATACATCACCCTGAGAAATTTTTGTAGAATCGGTGAAACTTGTCGAAAAGTCACCTGAAAGAAAAT